ATAGTTAAAAACTAGATAGTGTAAAGGGGATTTACTGATAATTTCAGTCAAATTGATCCACTCCGAACCGAGATTTTAGCGATTTAATTTTCGGCCTAGCCTCGATCATCATTACTAAATTCGGTACGATAAAAAAAAAACTTGAAGTTGACCTTATCAGATAGATCTACCCCCCTCTCGGTGATTGTAGAGGGGTAGATCAGTGTGCTTGTGACCTTGACGAAATCTGCAGATGGCCTTAACATTAAGACCAAACCTGACGGACGTCTTTAATAACTAGACCACGCGCAGACGCTAAATTGGTGACTTTACAATGTAAACAAAAGGCAATTTATTTGATTCATACCAAGGCTTTATTTTTCTAATTTCTATAGTTCTACTGGAATAATAAAGTGTTGAAAATATAAACTCGATTCAGTGATCCAGCTTTGTGTAATAAGTAGAATAAAAGACTTGTCTTAGTTCTTAGATTCAAGAATCATAGAATTATTTTAGAAATGTATACACAGTCCTACCTTGTTAAAGAATAATCCTATTAATCCTATTATTCACTATTGCCATTGGTCTATTGTTAGTTGATGTTATCTTGACTGAACAAAGGGTATACAGTGTAGGCATATACGTTTATTCAAATATGATCAGCACGGCAAACATGTTTTACTAGGTGTACGGTGAAACCAGCAACAACAACAGCTGATATTAGCTTAGATGTGTGCTTAGCGTAAAGAAAGACCCGCAATAGGCCGATTTAGCTCTTGCATAATGTAGGCCTGTGTTTAAGAGACTAGTATTTTGTTCTAGAGGTTGTTTTAAACACTGCTTTTCTGTCTGTCTTATTGTGTTAATCTTGTGTTAATCTTGTGGCACAAGTAGCGTATAGTAGGACGAATGGTCTTGTAACAGAACTGAACTATGAAAAGTCACGGTCCGATATCTTTCAAGGGATGTAATATACTAAACAGCAAAAAAAAACCCCAACCCAAAAACGTCAGTACGATTTCAAAATCAGAGAGGCACTTTAATCAAATCATTCTAGAAAAACGACTTACTAAATGGATCATAGCAATTTTTTGTGAACAGTATGTTGACACATTAGTGATTAATTCATCACAATTCCAATACATTACGAAAAAGTTTAGAGTCTGTACACAGTCTATACATCAGTATCTGGTGTGTCCACTGCGAGTGCCAATAACATCAGCGCAGCGTCTGTACATGGAGTGGACCACACGATTGATGAACGCCAATGGCACCTGGAACCACACTCTCAGAAAAGGCTGGCCCAATCCATCGGCTGTTTGGTCTCGGTACGACGTTATTAAGTCTCCTCTGAATTTCATCCCAAAGATGTTCAATCGGTTTTAAGTCCGGACTAAGGGCTGGCCAGTGCCTAACGTTGACGCCGTTCTGCTTCTGCTGTAGAAAGTCTCAAGTAACTCTGGCGGTGTTGGCACGGGCATTGTCTTGATGGAAAACGTTATTTCGATGACGTGCGAAATGTGGAAAGACGTGGGGTCTGAGAGCTTGATCGATGTAGCGCACTGTTGTAAGGACGCCTCCTCTCCCTGGACCAAGATTTTGGAACATCACAGGACCCACTCTCTGGTTCAGGCCGATTCCACCCCAACGCATTATACTTGGACCTCCCCATGAGTCTCGTTCCATAACACATTGGTCAGAATAACGCTGGCCACGTCGACGCCATATTCTGGTCCTGCCATCTGCAGTTGATACGCAATGCCGACTCTCATCTGTGAACAGAACAGTTCTCCATTGCTTGTCACAAATAACTGTAATAAATGAAAATATACGACACTAATAGATCATCAGTTTATATACATAATGTGTATTAGTTAGTTAAAAGTGATAGTAATCAGTCATTCAGGATACTTATTGATTCTTACTTAATAATTATGTCTCGCCAAATGTTAGAGTAAAATGGTCGAATTGCACATTAATTGATGTGTCAAATGGAGTTAAACCAGGTGGAGTTCTCTCCCCTGTATTGTTCACTGTATACTTAGACAAGTTATTAAGAAAATTGTGTGACAGTACCCTTGCTTACGCTGACGACATCACCCTCGTCACTCCGTCAAGTCAATCTCTTGTGTTACTACTAGATATATGTGCCAGGTTCTCAGAGGAATATGATGTTCAATTTAACCCTGACAAATGTAAACTGCTCTTGTTAAGTCATGATAAGCAGAACGATAGCAATTTTAAAGATATTTATTTTTAACGGTAAATGTATTAATGCAGAGAAGGTTCTATCAAAATGAGCAGGATTGATTATATACTGTTTAGTAATTCCCTAATACAGTATATACGCCATTCTTTTATTCTGACCATAGTATTGTATGCACTATATTCAATGTTGACACCACTGAAAGAGGCCCTGGCCTATGGATGATTAATAATACTTTGTTAGAAGCTAACTCATATACATCATTAATTACTAAAATAATCAATGAGAAATTACAATGTCCCCTGTATATTTCCGACCCACTCGTTTGGTGGGATAACCTTAAATATACATTTAAAAAAGAATCAGTTAATTATTCTCGTAAAAGGTCCCAAAAGGAAAAGATCGAATATTGGAAATTACAGAATTTCCTCGCAAAATTACAAGAGAAATTATCTAAAAGACTTTATGTTGATCATAATTTAATTCAAGGCTTAGAAAATAAAATACATGAATTTGATTTGATTAAATGTAAAGACGCTATACTCCGGTCGAAAAGTCAAGACGCACTAGAATCAGATAGATGTACCTCTTATTTCCTAAACCTTGAAAAGAAGAATAAAGAATCCCATTATATTAATTCTGTATTTAACGTTAATAATGATATTATTGATAATCCTGCTGATGTATTATTCACTTGTAAACGTTTTTATAATGATTTATATACTACTCCTCCAATCGACAATAATACTGAGATCCAACAGACGACAGTTAACTGACCATGATAGAAACAAATATGAGGGTGAGATCACCCCCAACGAAGTTCTACTGGCTTTAAATGGAATGAAAAAGGGGAAATCAGCGGGCTCTGATGGTATACCGGTCGAGTTCTATCTACACTTTTGGCACATATTATCTCCTATTTATATGTATATTTTAAAGTACATTGTTAAGACCAAATCATTATCCAGAGACTTCTAAAGAATTATAGACCTGTCACCTTACTAAATACTGATTATAAGATTTATGCAAGAGTTTTAGCTCTTAGATTTAAGTCAGTCTAATGTACGATTACACTTGCCGACACTAACTCCGTTATTAACACATTTACAGAAATGAAAATTTATTGCGATGCCTTCGGGGCCAAATTCAATGAGGAAAAATCTGAAATGCTGCCTATTGGAGCAGCTAAAGGTGTAGATAATAACTTGCCCTTGAATATTTTAATATTAAAATATTATGTTAAGTATAACTGGGACACTAGAGTTAGAAGTATCAAACACATACTTAATATATGGAACCAGGGAAAGCTATCCTTAATAGGCAAAGCGATAGTTGTCAAAATGCTTTGTGTATCAAAACTATGGTGTTTCCTAGGAGTTTTTGATATTCCTGACTTTTTTGTGAGTGATATAAATTCTTATATCAAATTTTTTTTTTGGAATAACAAAACTCCATTAATCAAATCCTCAACTGTAATAGGTAGCTATGAATAAGGTAGAATTAATATACCTAATATACCCTGTAGAGAGTCTGCCTTAAGACTAGTTTGGCTAAAAAGATATGTCGATCCCAATTTTAACTGTGTATGGAAACATTTGATGTAAAATTTCCTATCATTATATTGTAATCTAAAGTTAGATGTTGAAGTATTTTCAATTAATATGTTTAAAAAAGGTTTTGGCCCTATGCCACCCTTCTACGTCAACAGCATGGGATATAATAAATAGTAAAATTCGTATCAAACCATGTACATATAATAGCATTATGAATCAATCCATATTTTACAGCCCCTTTATATTACAAAATAGCAGCCCCTTATCATTTAATTTATTCATGAAGTGTGATATCACTAAAATAGCTGATATTTCACATTGTGTTATACCCGGATTACTTCCCCTTGCATTTATTATAGACCATATATTAGCCCCAAAACGACCTCGTTTGTGTCTAGTTGACGCTAAACTCGCTCTCTCTCTAATTTAATGGGCGTCGACATCTTGTTTTAGGGCTATTTTTCTCCCTTTTAATGCTCTCTGACTGGAAAGAGTAAACATTCCACACGCTAATGTGACGATCGGATAATCTTGCCAAATATCGACAACCCATCTACATATTTGTCTGGATGATATAGACTAGCCCTTAGGGTGATTCTCCAAAGTGGTCTGATCCCTACCAATTTATAATGTCCTTTCCTTCCCACCATTCATCTAGAGCCTAGTCAGACTTCCCCTGTTTCCTTGTAATGATGACGTCATGTAAGGTGTGAAAGACATTGTTTTGGGTGGATGAAGAAAATCTCTTCCTGATCGGCACCCAGGTCTTGCAACATTGTTGGTAAAATTGGGTACACATCAAAGGGGACTATGTAGAAAAATAAATGGAAACCGTCGACTTTGTACAGATCTTTTACAGAGACAGGTTTAGAACTTTTCAGCCAGCCCTCGTATTGATTGTTTAAATCATTACATCGCCATCTTTATAGACCCGTGGCTTAAGAAGCGGTCACGTCATATTTATGTGTCGTGAAGGATATATTTGGGTGGATTATGGCAAATCGTGTCACCCCTTCGCGAAGTGGGGTTTTAAACTGTTCTGCATGAATCGGTATAAAGCGGTGTACAGAGGGTTAAATTTTGCCCGGGCAGCTGCTTTTCCGTCTACTCATCGCTGAATTAGGGTTAACAAACTACGGAGAATAACATGGATGACTGGCAAACACAGCAACATGAGATAAACAAAAACACCAACAAACTATAGAAGTTAACATGGATGACTGACAAACACAGCAACACGAGGTAAACAAAATAAACAACAATCAAAGAACAAACTATTTATTTTTCAACTTGGTTACATTTTAAAATCTTTGTTTATCTGGTTTTTATGAAGAAATACAGATGAATATATTGAAGTTTTTGGTTTAGATGAATATATAATTGGCTTAGAATTATAATTCATAAAGAAAGAACTAAATAGCATTTATTTATTTCAAAGAAGTGGTAAACTATCACAATTTATTTTATTGGATCTAATAATAGTTGCTCTCTAACATAAACTAGTTTGGTTACAACTCACAATATGGTTGTCCACATTTAGCTGAAAAATACAAAACATGGTTTATATATTATAAATAAACAAGTCATTATTGGGTGAATATACTCAAATATTACAATATAGTTTATTATATTAAACCTTATATAGCAGTGGTTAAATATCACAATTTATTTTATTGAATCTAATAACAGTTTACTTACTAATAACAAAATGAGTCTCCACATTCAGCACCTGAAAAATACAAAACATGGTTTATATATTATTAATAAACAAGACAATGTAAACCTATAGTACACCATGGTAGACGATTAATAACATCATTAGGTGAATATACTTATAAAGTCATAACTCATTGTTTGTTGTCATGACGGGGGTTGATGGAATCTTTTATCTTATTCAAATAAAGAGGTTAAACGTGTTTATATATACATATTGGGTGATATTGATAGGTGATTATAAATAGAATAGTGATTATTTACTTGCACAGAATCCACCAATACATGGATAACCACTACACTCACTGGATTGCCTACACGGTTCTATAAAAATAAGTAATACATCATTAGACACAACAACACTAATGATTAGGCTCTTTTAGTACTAACACTGTACGCTTTATTCCAACTAGATGTTTATTACAAGTTGGAGATTAGACAGATGATGGAAGCAATAACTACTTCCATAGTCTTAATATACAGCATTTACATTAGAACACTCAGCCCCCCCCCCCTCTATCTGAGACTGTCCTGTACATTATGATCACATCCCCGACAGCTGTATGAATTAGATTTCTAGAAATAGTATCTATTAATAAATACATCGGGTTTGTATAAATGAGTGTCTATAATATAAATCATATTTACCGAGACAAACACCACCTGAACAAGTACCATCATTACCAGCTACCTTGCACACATCACCATCACCATCACCAACACATAATCCTCGAACTATAATAAATTTACAACTATAACAAATATAATTTACAATATACAATTGTGTTTAAGATTACTTTCATAAGACAAAAGAATAATATGATCAAATTGATAAAAATTTAACAAATCATTCAACATAAGATAGTGTTACCAGGTGTTCCTCTTGTTCAGGCATTAGGTATATCCTGCTAAATCCAGCTCAAACTATGCAGTATTTAAGAAAAACCTTAAAACTGAACTTTTTAATCATGCTTTTAAATAGTGTTTAAATTGCTTTATTCATGTAACGATTTTATTCGTATTTGCTAATTAACTTTTAAAACTTATATATATTTTAAATTTTGAGTAATTTTAAGCCTTGTGTGTTTTTTTTGAATAATTGTTTAAATCGTATATGTTTTTTAAAATAATTATAAATTTAATATATTTCAAATTTAAAATGTATTTTTAAAGTATTTATCTTGATGTAAAACCAGCGCCACTGAGCAGCTATACTAGCTGGAACGTGTGCGCTTTATAAATGTATTAAATTATTTATTTATTTTATAAGCGCGGACAAATGATCAAGTAGAACAGCATTAATTATAGAAATAGACGGATAATGGATAACATATATCTATATTATACTTACACCTGCACGTGTTGTTTACACATTTATTACCAAAACGACAGAATCCTTCCCCGCATGGTACATCTGAAATATTTCAACTTTTATAATGCTGGACACTATTACAAGAGGTGTCTGATTTATTTATAGTTTCTCTCACCTAGGCCAAAACATGAATATAGCTATGGGTTGTTAGACAGATATTAAATAATCAGTATATATCATCATTCATTTGATCATATATATATATATATAACCACTTAAAGTAATATAATGATTGTAGCTCAACTTGATATTATAAAGTTAGTAAAATAAACAACATACCCTGATCAGTACACACATTAGACATGTCATCTGTAGTACCACGACAATTATCACCTGAAATATAAAACATACATATAATAGAGTTTATAAATAGAATGTCATATTAACGTAGACCACAATTAAGACTTTTATTACGTCTTGCAAATGTTTTGACAGTAATACATTTTTGAAATAAATATTCTAACGGGTTTGATACAAGTATTACAGGTGATCGTTTGAACTTGAGTTTAAATTTCAACTGTTTATAAAGTAAAGGGTAATGGTCTAATGTTTGTATATACATTAATCAACAGACATGTAACATGTTATACTTACCTTCGTCTACACAAGTACCATTCAAACACACTTCATCACTAGCACAGTCGCCACAATCTGAATATAAACAAATAACAGATTAGAAGATTGACTAAATACATATTTTAGTGAAGCAAATATTATTAACTATATATTTCTTTAACTATTTAGCCATTTAAAATATTTGACAAAGCAATGCACGGGATATGTCTAGTTAATTTGTAGATTAATCCACAGATTATATGATGGAATTTTAATTTTATCAGTAAATTTCAAGATCATAGTTATTTGAGTGGATAAAAACTGGATTGGTTATAAATATAGCTGATAGAAGACTAGGTATCTTACCATCGGTCTTACATCTATATCTGTAACACTCTCCTCCTCTATTCTCACACTCGTTCACGTTACATACTATCACTGTAACATAATTATAATATTGGTAATATATTAGATATGTGCTATACTCCCGATTAAAGAAATCATTGCACCGTGGGCAATATGTGAGGCCTCCCATTCGTGTTCCTCATCATATCTGATCAGGTAAGGTATTATAAAGACAAATATCACAAGAATACTTACAGCTACAATCAGCTCCACCAAAACCAAAGGTACAATTACAAACACCTTCACCTACACATTCTCCCCCATTCAAGCATTCGACATTTTCACAAGGATTTACTGAAAAGCAGAATAATAGTTGAGTGTTGGCCCTAAAAACATCATGCAGATGTCAATATTTCAAGTTTCATCATTACAGTACCTACAAACAAATGTGAACGGACGTCATGGCGGACAGGGGCGACGACTGTGATATTAGTGATAAAAGGGATCAGTTTCGTACATATAGGATTTATTTACCTAGGTAGCAGGAACATAAATAACTATATAAACAAGGTACATATCTATATTACGACTACCATTCCACCCTTCTGCCACGGCAGCGGCTGATTCGGGTCAATCCATACCATCGTCTCGGGACCTCTCTGCTCGTCTCTACTTCCCGGGGGGGGGGGGGGGCGAATGGTTAGCGCGTGCGCCATTCAGTTAACTGACGTGGTTTCTATTCCCGGGTTGTACGTGAAAAGGAGTAGGGTCGCATGTCCAACCTCGTTGGTTTTCTCCGGGTCCTCCGGTTTCCACCCACTGCTAAAGACCCCTAAGCGCAGGCGAATTATTGAAATAAAATTGAACCATGTGTTAGTCCCAAAATGATCTAGTTTGTGTCGAGTGGACGTTAAACCCTATTGCTTTGCTCTCCCATTCTCTCCCCCCCCCCTCTCTCTCTCTGTATATATGTACTGGACATCCATATATGTAGTGGAAAGTTGAGCTGATATCGTAGATCAATAACGTTGGGTTTAATGGGTTCGATGCATTTGAATAAATATTTTATATAAAATATAGTCTTACTACAATACAAGTTATGGAGCACTTTGCCACACGACAAAATCGGGGCATATAAAAATCACAAATACTTACATGTAACGTTACAAGTAGCTCCACGGAAACCAGACGTACAATTACAAACACCTTTACCTACACATTGTCCACCATTCATGCAGGTAACACCATCACATGGACTTATTGAAAAACACAGTAATGTTTAAACATATACCATGTGACTTCACCAGTAGATAAAGTGTTGACTCTAAAGACAAAAATCACAACAATACTTACTGTTGCACGTTGGTCCACTGTAACCAGATACACATTCGCAAACACCTTCACCTACACATTTTCCACCATGCATGCAGGTAACACCATCACATGGATCTACTGAAAAACACATTAATATATATTTACACGTAATGATGCATGATTTGCATTTTTTGGAAAACATCAAATTTTTCACGCCTAATGCAAACTGAACGCAGCGATCCATCTACGTCATACTTCGAGATAATGATCACTGCCCAAGTTTGCTTCCATTTAAAACGCTAACGTGATCATTTTGGGGCGGGACTGGACTGGACTGCTTTGTGTACACAACAGAGTAAAAAAAACGATCAAGCACGTGTTTTATGTAAACACGTGTCATTGACAAAATGTCAACTTCTGCCACTCCGGTAAAAGCGATATATAATATGTGCTAGTGGGTAATATTTGCAATACATCTTTGCCATTGTAAACTTTATTTAGAGTTTCAATCTGTATATCTATCAAAACAAGGTTAGATACTCATCAATTTGTCTTAGCAAACAAAACCGCCTCTGTGAAAATTATCTTTCATAGGCGCCGCCATATTGAATAATTAGAGGACTATTTTGTGATTCGGCTTTGATTATTTTGACATTTTCATACACACAGCGGCTAAATAAACATATTTAATTTCATTCAATATGACAATAGAAGAGAAATAAATAATTCTAAATATTACTAAAAGCATACTCAGTGTTTTCGACTAAAATCGGCGATGTAGGAATTAAAATGTCGGTTAATTAGCTTAGGCCCTGTTCTCAGGTGGAGCTAGCTGTAGAAAGGCAGCCTAAGTTTGGGATGGGCTTAATGCACGCTTAGTATTTACTCAGATTGATTATTTAACATTTAATTAAGAAATTAAAATAATGCTAAATATTCTCCCGGTTCGAAATTAAAACACTTTGGCCTATCAGTTTAGTTCACAGACAAATAATGCTAAATGGAATTGAATCATTCCTGTTAGAGGTTCAACAGGAACTAAATGTTGTTTACCCGAAGAGCTTAAATTTATGTTAAAATCCTATCTCTTTTAAAAAGTCTAACACTTTACCATATATACCCGGTAGGGTAAACATGTGATGTAATGACTGACAACGGTAAAAATTCGATCTAATATCTTTGAAATGCTTGCACTCAATCAAAATGTGCTTAATTTTCAAAGGAACATGGCAGTGTTCACATTCTGGTTGAGGCTCTCGCTTTAAAATAAAAATGTGAGTTAAAAAAGTATGACCAATGTGAGAGCGACACAAAACAACTTCATATCTTCTGTTAGTTCTATAGGAGTTGGACCAGTTCCCTAAGAGGGGCTTAATGTGATGAAGTTTGTTTGTGCCTGCAAGATCCCAAGACCGTTGCCATCGCTCGTATATAAAATCAGAAAATGGTATAAATTGTAATATGGGAAGATCTTGATACAGCAGACTTGATCATTCCCTTTAATATCAACATGACTGGTGAGCCAGTAAAGGACGGTCTCCTTACAGTTAAACTCGTGTGATAGTACACAGGAATCTCATCTTCTATCCGCATATATATATATATATATATATATATATATATATATATATATGTATACACCATACTCAACTAGACAATATATCATAAAAAAAAGAACAGGAATACAATGCCTGCTGAAGCTTCGAGGCTTCAACATGCATTGCATTCCTGTGCTTTTTTTTTTATTATATTATTGTCTAGTTCGGTATGATGTATGCATATATACGATTAGAAGGTCAGATGCCCGTGGATAGTAGCAAACGATAAATGTCTGCTACTAAAGGGTGTACAAGTTGCTTATTGTTTATTGCCTGTAAAGAGGACAAAGAATCAGTAAATATAATGTGTTTTAAAGACGAGGAGGGTTTAATGAACTCCAAAGTCTGAAAGATGGCCTGGAGTTCAGCAGTAAATATGGAAGCATGACAGTAGCCGAAACTACCCGATCGCCATCTTTGGAACCATCTGTATAAATTGGAGCATAATCACCATTATCGGCCAAAGCAATGTGTTGCAGAGATAGAGCTCGCAATCCAAATACCCACTCAATTACTAGGATGCCACTCTACACCGACACAGGTCGCAACGCACGGCAAACACGTTGTCCCATTACAGGGGTCAATTTAGTCGCATTTTACGACACGCAGGACATACGAAGGGTATATTCTTATCACCCCCTACACCCCAGGGGGAGATCGTTAGGATTATAACATATAATTGTGTTTACGTTTTGTCATATATCGTATACAATTTGTGATATTTCGTAGGGTCATAATCCACGAAATTGTGTTCAGATATGCGCTAATATCAAAACGTAATCTTTAAGTGGCATTTAGTGATTGGGGTACACAATAACAGAACACAATTTTTATGGGAAACAATCACTGGTTTTATTCTAATAGCACGACGTTTCGACAAGTATCCTCTTATCGTTATCAAGCACAATGACATTTAGTAAACTTGGATTAAAGATATAAGAGTTCATGATGAAGCCATTTACAAAAATTAAATAATAATAACATTAAGAAGTAAAAGATTAAGCAAAAACAACACAATATAATAGACCCACGGTCCAACCAAAGGATAATGTTGACTAACGCACCAAAATCTTTGGGATATAAACCTATATTTTAAGTTTTTGTCTAATCGGATAAAACAAATGCAAATGGACAGGAGCGACGACAGTATACGCCCACTTAGAGAAAGCAATATATTCATTTGTTTGCAGCTAAAAACTGATTCATTTTCAATATTATTAATCATTGTTATATTTATTATTTTTACATACGAGTTTCTAACTGTCATATAATATTGACATTCGAGGGTACGGGTATCGTTGAACCTCTATTGATAACTTCATCGCGGGCTGTAACGTATACGGCTTGTAAAGGAAGGGAAATGCTCCATAATTTGTTCAAAGTAAATCCTTGTAAATTTGGTTTAAGAATAATCTATATGTAGCGTCCTTTGATATCCGAAATCACTGAAGGTTATACGCTATAGATAATGTCACGGTATTTCACGGTATGTCCCGTCACATCATTACACGTGACGTCAACAATCAAGGTACATCACGGACTGTCCAATATAATAACATCAATTACGTATTTAAATGGAAAAATCATTTGTCATTTCTAATTCTTATGAAAACTTCTCTATATTAATATTAATACTTAAGATACATTATAGGGAATTACACAAAGAGCTGTAATAGTTAAAAACTAGAAAATGTAAAGGAGATTTGCTGACAATTACAGTCAAATTGATCCACTCTGAACAGACAATTTAGCCATTGAATTTTGGGACTAGCCTTTATTACTATTACTAAAGTCGGTACGATAAAAACATAGTCTCGATTATCTATTTTATTATTTAATCATCAATGAGCATTGAGCAGCAAATCAGGTTCTAATCCAGTAAATATCACAGACTAGCGATGTCATCGAGAGGTGATTATGGTCTGAATATGTTAATTAATGTCTAATTAATAATTTAGATAACATTTCGTACCTAAAGAAAGACCCGCAACTGGCAGATATAGCTCTTGCATAAAGTATGTTAAATAAAAACATGGTAATACACGGACCTTTTCTATTTTAATCAGTTCTATCACATATGTGATAATGACTGACGCCAATATTGTCCTTTAAACTACATAAAAGGTTCTTCCAAATCCCCAAAAATAAAAAAAAGTCTCCTCTAACTAGAAGGAATAAAACCAGAACACCAAAATCGAGTCTGACAATAGCAGTTTTGAAACATGTGAATAGTTCATTATAGCTGAGGAATGGGAATGTAAAGTGTCTTCGTGCAGAACAATCATTAGAGTAGTACGATTTACTCAAATCCACCCAAAATTAGAAATATCCACCATTATTTCAAATTATAAGACAATAATTTATTTCGATATTTGATAATATCCCGTTCTTTATGCCAAATTGTTATTTTTAATTTATAATCCCAACTATGTGAATAGTTCATTATAGCTGAGGGATGGGAATGTAAAGTGTCTTCGTGCAGAACAATCATTAGGGAAGTACGATTTACTCAAATCCACCCAAAATAAGAAATATCCACCATTATTTTAAATTATAAGACAATAATTTATTTCGATATTTGATAATATCCCGTTCTTTATGCCAAATTGTTATTTTTGATTTATAATCCCATCGCTTTTGTTTCAAACGCGATTTCCAAACAAATCCACAATTATTTTAACTTCCATCACAATAATTTATATCTATATTTGATAATATACAGTTCTTTATACTAAATTGTCATTTTTTAAATTTAAAATCGTAACATTTTTGTGTCGATATTCCCCCTCAAAAGTTTTGAACTTAAAATAAGGGACATAATTCCTGTATTGCACGGAATCGCATTCCGGGAAATTGAATTTTGAAGGACATTTTTTTTTTTTGAAACAAAACGTTACGAGTGTAAGTTATAAATGTCAATTTGGCTTAAAGAACATTATAATTGTTATTAAATAATCATTATATGAGTTGAAATAATGGTGGATTTGGGTAGATTTGGGCGGGTGTGGGTAACACTGGCTACCGCAATCATTGTCAAAGTGACATTTGTCCCAGTCATAATCTAATCCTTCTAGCATAATATCTAAACAATAGCGATCTAAGGTAAACATGACGATGACGTTACGCGACTTGATCTGGGCAATTGTCTGTACTAGCACCTGTACCGCTGAAAGTTACCCCGATGTGTGCGTGACGTCACGCCATACATTTCTAAGATTGCTATTAAACCCTATACAAAATTATGATGAAGAGACTGCTAAATGTGGTCCATTGTGTGTCTAAAAAGACTGGAATCAACGAAATGTTGAACAAGAAGCTACAGCCTGTGATGTTAGAGCCATTTAACATTGAAGTCAGTGGGCCAATAATTGCTAACCCGAGTTTTTATAATCTATCATAAGCCCAATGGGTTTGCCTCCCACTTGTCAAACATTGGTCAAAATTTAAAAGGGCAGTTTAGATTGTATTTGAATTAGGTTTTATTCCACCACTTGAACATAGAATTATCCAAACATAGCCAAATATGTTCGGTGCATCTGTACTAGTTTTAATTTATCGCAAATTATAAATATGTTCTGAAACAAATCGGGGCAAATTTAGTTATACGTACCAGTACAGCAGCGGCAGAGATCAGATTGGTGAACTTGATCACACGATATAGTTTTCAGGTTTACTGTGGACCTCTGTGAACACGACGTTTTGCTGTTTGCAGTACAGGCCATCAAGGCAAAAGCTACCACGACATTCAGAATCAAAGCATACATGGTTAAATTAATTCAACTTGAAGTTAAACACATCTGATGGCCTACTCGGTTTAGGGGTTCTTTATAGACAGACGGATGGCAACAGCTATCGATTTCCATGTGAAAGAGCACGAACATGAAAACACGTGGCCTCCATTGTCAACTCCTACTGGAAGGAACCAAATAATATTATTGGTTTAGAGAAATATCTTACACAGTTGACTATTGATTACGACGCACCTTAATCAATGTTCGTCCATACTCGATACTTCCACTGGGAGGAGCCAAGTAATATTTTTGGTTGAGGGGAATATCTTGCGTAGATGACTATTGATTACGACACACCTTAATCAATATTCACCCACTTAGTGTATAGTTTGTGTTTGGTGTAAATAGTTAATTAAAGAACCATGGATAAGAAATCATTGTCTTCGTCGCCCATGTTTTCCCATAGACTTCATTATTAAATCCATAGCATTGCTTGGCCTATAATTTTTGTTTAAAACCACAAAGATTAGGACGTGTTACAATTCTTTAATACAAATATTGAAGAGGGGTAAACCGTTTCGATATTTTTCTAGGCCTGGTCGAAGGACTCTATAGGCTGTGACGTCAGTTTCGTGGGTGATTTCCCTTATTCGTATGTATTTACTTCCTGATTCTCCCACCACAAAATCAGGCGTATTTAAAATAATTGCCAGAAAATATTTTTAAATTCTACACCAATAGTGGGATCAACAACCCAACAGTGAGGCTTGTGCCCCCTGCCACAATTCCTGAGTAATTATATTATTTTACCGAAAATTTATCTTTTTGTACAGCACTGAGGCATCAAACTGCTTATCTGTTCTTAACCTTAGTATAAAATCCATATGACAGACCTTAAGTCTTGATTTAGTGAAACTATATACCAAGCCTCGTCATTCTCCTAATGAGAACCAAAGTCATATTCAATAAAATTAAACTGAAATGAAATGGGATTTCACGTCCTGCTGCTGTGTTTCTAAACTGGATTAATGAAGACGGACATACGTCATACAGTGGACGTATAAGGGAAATTTTGCCCGGGCAGCGGCACTATGGCCTATTCTTATTTCGAATTCCAACTTTCAAGTTTCTTGTATGTGCACGTCAATGTGTAGCGTGTACCTTTCCGAACGATTACGCGTTGTCCGTGGCCAGGTGCCTCGACCGCTGACAAGAGGGATCCACGCCCAAAAGTCTCGATGAAATATCTCGGCCAACAAGGGATCTCCTGGTTAGCGAGCCAACGTCTTTACATTTGTATGCCATCAAACAATCCATTTTGCTTTTCGAGCTTGAGGCAAGAAAAATAATGTAACACGATTTAATCTCACGCTGTCCTTTTAACTCCCTGGTTTGAATTCCGGCGCAGGGAAGTCAGAGGCTGGGCTGAAAAAAGAACATCTAGTCCTTCGAATGCGACCAAAACCTGAGATACGACATATCAAAAAAATCTTTTTTTTTTTGGTTGACACCATAGTTTGATTACATGCGCATACATTACCAATAACATACGCAAAGGGAATTCATTAAAGCAATAAATATGTTTAATTTATTGCTTTATTCGCATGGCTGCCATGTTACATATGATAATCAATATTATACATATGGAAGATTGACTCATCGGGAAACAGAACAGGAAACTAAAATTTATTTCAGTTGTGGAAATGTTTAATTTATTGATTTTGTTCGCATGACTGCCATGTTGCATATCGTAATCAAAATTTATACATATGGTAGATTGACTCATCGGGAAATAGAATAGGAAAATAAAATTTATTTAAGTTAGGAACATGTTTAATTTATTGATTTTATTCGCAGGGTTAATCAAATGTTATACATATCGTGAATTCTGTTACCAGGAAACCGAATGGAACAATAAAATTTCACGGTAAAAAGTATATAAAGTTACCTTCACAATTCACAATTATAATACGAACTGGACAACTGTTCATCGATGGAGGGACTTTGAATATTTACATATGGGTCATTCCATGTCAACTGGACCAAATTTCAGAATGTTGGGAACATGACCCCTTCCCAAAAAATTATAAAAAATCTATGTTATAGTATATAGTCTTAACCTAGCAAATCCAAAAGTTTTACCACTCTAGATAAAAAAAAACCTCACGGAGATATGGCCATTTGAAATTAGGGTACTGAAACGGACTAAAAATTGAAAAGTTTTTCTCGGATTTTCAATTGCTTTAAACTCACATTTGTAATTGGAGTACAACTTTCTAATCTAAGACAACTTTTGGTGTAGATTACGAATTTAGCATCACACTTAATGTGCGATTCAAACTTTTTGGGCCACCAGGTGGCAAAATGCGGAACAAATGAACTATTCACTTTTTTTTCACGATTTCCACAGCCTCTGGCAAAGTCACTGTTGTATACATAATCTCCAAAATTGGCATAGTTAATGTCAGTTGGTATTTTATCAATTTACAAAAGATCCCGAGTCGATTGAATGTATATTTTCAAAATATTCAGCCTCAAAATTCATTCACACGGAAAATTTACAAAATTTACCCATTTTCTCCTTCAATTTTGACCATGTGGACAGAGGTTAAAATTTTGAAACTGGTTGAAAATGAAACTTCATTTACCCTATTATAACACACATTAAAGCCCATCTTGTGTATTTGGGGTCTTATATTTTTAATTCGCTCTTGAAATCTGTGCGGTGATGGAGTTTTAATAGCTATTATCAAAACTGTTGACGTTTCACGTTGATTTTAAAATAACTTCTAAATGACCTATACCCCTCAAACGTGTCTATTTATAGTACCTTATTGCTTTGATGACGAATATGTAATAATTTTGCATCTACTTTATACCATTCTAAATTTATTTTGCCTCCCAAATTAGAAAAACATTGTTGTTCCGCTTCCCAAATTGTAATATAGGGCTTTGACAATCAGATTAAAATTACTTCTGAAAGACTTAGGCTCCTCATATTTGTCATTTTAGAGCAACGTATATTGTTCAATAAGAATAAAGACGCATTTGGCTACAGGGAGTATCGTTTCAATTTAATTTTGATTTCCAACACAGGGGAAAACTTGTTTTGTCTGCATAGAAAGTTGAAGTACATGTACAGTAGTGTTGTTACATTATCACTGAACACTTGAAAACTACAGGCCGCAATTTTTAACGTATGATCTTGAAACTGCATACTTATTCGTTATACCCTAAGGATGTTTCCTATTGTTTTTGGTGCTTGCCCAACCCGGGTCAGAGCCACACCCATTTTTTTTCCTTTGTGTGTCTGTGTGTTTTTTTTGCCCTACAGGTCGCAATTCTTAATGGACTGTCTTGAAAACTATTCATATATATTCCTTATACCCAAAGGATGACTGTTATGATTTTTGGTGTATGCCCGCCCGACCCCCAGGGGCACAGCAACACCAGATTTTAGTGTTATCGTCCACAGGCTGCAATTCTAAACTTTTGGTGCATGCCCGACACCTGTCACGCTCCAGGATGATCCATTCAGAATTGCGGCTCCTAGGCGATAAACAAACAAAATGGGTGTTGCTATGCCCCTGGGGGCTGGGCATGCACCAAAAATAATAGCGGTCATCCTAAAGGTATAAGTAATAAGTATGACAAGTTTTGAAGATGATCAAAACACACAGACACACAAAGAAAAAATAGGCGTGGCTCTGCCCCTGGGGGTTGGTCACACAAAAAACAATAGCGATCATTCTCAGGGTATAAGGAATAAGTATGCACAACTTCAAGACAATCCATTAAGAATCTTGGCTTGTAGGCGACAAACTGACACATGCAAAAATTGAGCGTGGCTCTCTGCCCCGGGGGTCTGGCGCGCACCAAAAACAATAGGGAACATCCTTAGGGTATACGGAAAAACTAGTATACATAGTTTTAAGACGATGCGTTAAGGATAGCGGCCTGTAGTTTTGTTGCGTCTAGAGATACTTCAACTTTCTTATTAGACAAAACACGTTTTCACCTGATTTAAAGCAAAACTAAAATGAACCGATACTCCCTGGATCCCAAAAGAGTCTTTATTCTTATTCTATGTTAAGAGTTGATCTAAAATGACAAATATGATGGGTCTAAGTCTTTCAGAAATACTTTCAATCTGATCATCAAAACCCATTATTCTAATTCGTGAAGTGTATTAACCATTTTGTTCGCATTTTGGCGAAAAAATAAAATTAGAACAATACAATGTACATCCAATATGATTACATATTTGTAATCTACGTAAAACATCACTTTAAATAATCCTGTTTGGAGAGTACAGGTCATTTAGAAGTTATTATAAAATCAACGTGAAAAGTCAACAATTTGGATAACAGCCATTAAAACTTCATCACCGCACAGATTTCATGTGCCAATTAATAATATAAGCCATCAAATACACAAGATGGTCTTTAATGTATGTTATAGTAGGGTATTTGAAGTTTTATTATCATTTTTTCAGAATTTAAACCTCTGTTCCACATGGCCAAAATTTAAGGTGGAAATGTGTATATTTTGTACGTTTTCAGTGTGCAATGAATTTCGAGACTGAATATTAGGAAAAGTATATATCGCATCAAATTCGAATCTTTTGTGAATTGATATACTCAGCCAAATTAAAAACTTGACACTGATGAATTTCAACAATTTTTTTTCTGGTAATTCAAATAAATTTTAAAGTGTTTCTAACGATAGTAAGTAGTAAGAAGCCTTTAATTTCATAAAAATGTAAAGTCACGTGGATCACATGACTTTTGAGCATATAAAGATGAAAAACCTGAAAAACACGTGCAAACACAAACTCGTGAGGTCAATCGATGCAAGTTTGCTTAAACTGGACACGCACACGTAACTTGAACTGGAAAAACAAATTAAAATTGTTATTTTCAACTTTGTTAGAAAATGCCGCGCCTTTCAAATGTAGAACGTCTACGTCAGAGAAGTTGACCGATTTGGTGGCGGCAGCGTCATGGTTTGGGGTTCTTTTTGTGCACATGGACGTTCTCCTCTTGTTGTCCAAGGGAACTTAAATGCTGTCCAGTACAGGGATCAGATTTTGCAACCTGTTCTTCTTCCGT